CGTGCGGCAGCAGCAGCCGCCCGGGATGCGGCGGTCCCGCGGTGTCCCCCGGTTATGCAACGGCCAGCGCATGTGAGCGGCCGTGCTGTCACATGCCCGTGCAGGGGCTCCCGTGTGTCCTCAGCGCCTGGTTCGGTTTGCTCGCAGTGATTCTTATGCCAAGTGACAGCCTCCTGGAAGCCGTAGACTGTGTATAGCAAGATCTGCTATTTATTGATGTGCTTAATATTAAATATTAAGTATACATGTTTCCTTAACATCAGAGACTACAATAAGTTGGACTTCTTGATACTTTAGGAGAAAAAAAAAGTGTAAAACCTTCCCTTCTCTATTCTCAGTCACATTTTGTTTATGCTGTAGTCTCAGATAGGAGTGAGGTACTCCACGTTCTTCTGAAGAAACAGGGAGTGTCTTGTCAGCATTACTGGTTTGTTTTTTTTTCCTCTCTAACCAACTTGGAAACATACTTTCTAGGTCAAGTTTTATGCTTAACCCTTTTTAAACTCACAAGTTTGTCATCCTGTGTGTGTGCTGACTTCTCTTCAAACAACCTTTACAGAGCTTGAACAGAAAGCTAGGAATTCATTCTAGAAGCTGATGATTGTTTAGTAATGACTCATGATCTCTAGTTGGGTAGCTAATGGACTTCACACCTTAACACTGCTTTGTGTAATGTTTTTGGAGGGAGATACCACCTTGTAGCAATGAGATGTGTCCTATGCTGGCAGGTAAATGATGACAGGATGCTTTCCTTTAGGTGACAGAAAGATACTGAGCTAGAGGAGCTCGAAACAAGTTCCCCTAAGACTTAGGGGATCCTTGTAGAGGATGTGGCTTTGTGGTCCATAAGAAGTAAACACTGTAAAATTACTTTAACTGTGCAGGTTTTAAATTCTTAATGTAAGAAGGCAAAATTTGAATTTTTTTGACGTTAACTTTTATTTACAGCCTAATGCTCCACCAAATGGACCTTGATATATTTCAAAGAGAAGCTGGTCCTTCAGTTAGACTGAGCCTGTATAGTGGTAGATGCTTGCATGTGAAGGTGAACATGTTCTCTCCCCTCAAGTATACTGGTAGTGTAACGTTTTCACACTTCTGGTTGTGGTGTGTCTAAATGAAAGTGCCATACATCATGTTTCGTCTTTTTAAAGAAGTCAGTAGACTAGAGTGGCATTTTGGTTTGCAGTCCTTCCGTTACGTACACTTTCACAGTGAGCTTGAAGCGTTCAGCCTCTGAAAGATGTAACTTTCATTCTGAACAGTGCATGCTACAAGACTTGTGCCAGCTAACCTGTTATTAGTTGATACTTAACTAAGAACTACATTGAAAATCTTGGCTCCTTTAGTCCTGTTCCTGAATGTGGACTTACAGGAGAATGAAGTCTTGAAACTGTTCTTACTTTCTTCAGAACATCCTAATGTACTGGATGGCAACTAGTGTGCTTAATGGCAGCTGTTTCAGCTGATCCTCATGTAATTATACTAAAACACAAGCTGTCAAATTAGTGGCTAAGCAAAGTTGGATACAGGTTTCTTATCAGCAACTGGAATCTCAAGCTGTAGGATATCTTCTGAGTTTCTGAAATCCTGTGGGAAGATGTCAATGGCAGGTGCTGCTCTGTCTCACTGTTGCCAGCTGTCCTACAGCACAGTGGTACCTGACCTTGGGCACGACGTTCTGAAATGCCTGTATGGAGCAACTTGCTTGGCAGGGATGGGAATGTAGCTTCAGAGCAAGACAGTAACCACTTTATGTAAGTTACTTCCTGGAAAATCAAGAGTGACTTGTTCATCATCTTTCTGGGTGGAAAGTGAGGAAGCAGTCTTAGAAGGGGAGAGGTGACTGAAGGGAATGACTGGTAGAACTGAATAGTACTTTGCTGGGCAGTAAACGAAACAATCTAAGTGTTGTAAGGTGTTATTACTGTTCTTCTGCAGGGCATCGGGGTGTTTTGGTGCAGATGGCCTTAGCTGCAGACAGCTGATAGTTAGGGACCCTGTGTGTTCTGATTATGTATGCAGTAAGTGTGTATTTTCCCAGTAAATCATTGCCAACTAACACCAGCTTGCTCCCGAAAATTTTGACCTGTTACTGTTATTGCAACTTTCTCTTACTACTTGACCTTCACTTTCCTGTGGCATGTGAAGTGAGCTTGAACAACTCCAGAACTAGCGCTTGCTTTCCCTGACCAGGAGCAGCTAATGATTTTTCTGCCTGAAAAGGAACAGTCCCTTACTCATGAGCAAAGGAGCAACAGGAGCTTGGTAGACAAAGCTTGTTTTTGAATTGGATGCCTCCGAACAAGTTACCGAGAGACAAAGTAAGAGTAAGAATTAAATCTGTAAAGTGTCCTTTAGTCCATGGATCTCCTCCTCTCATAGGGAGGTCTGTGAGGTAAAGTGCAACTTCTGGGGCGGATCTGCAAACTTGACCTGGTCACCTGTTTCCATAAAGCAGTCTTACCATTTATTAAGGGTAATCTGGTATTGTGTTTCCCTAGATCTCAGTTTCTCAACCTAGTGGGCAATACGGACTATTAATTGTGATGTGGACTAGATATTAAGGGAGTGGAGGGGGAGGAGTATGCTGTTTCTTGGAATCTTTCTTCTTGCCCTACAGAATCCCAGATGTACCATCCTAGATGAAGGAAGGGAAAACAGCTGTATCTGATGCTGTTGCCTTTCCCATACATTAGTAATCTTAATTCGGAGGGACAAACAATGTTCACTTATCATCTGGTATTTGCAAGACTACAAATAGTTGCTGTTTCTGTATACAACATGATCGTTGTTCTTTGTCTGCCTAACAGCTACATATTCATTGTTGGTGATGGCTAATGTTGCTGGGAGTGTTGAAGATTATTGATTTGTTTCAACATGCAGTTGAAGAAACTTAGACTGCAGGAAATGTGTTTATGATCTGCTGGAACACTAGTTTTATTACGAACAAATGATAATGCCTGGGAACCAGAAAGCTGTAACAGAACCTTTGTAGAATGCTAGTAGCCATGAAATGTCCATACTTGCTGGTGTGAGAGTTCTTTGTGGGCTTCTGGAGCTCTGACCTGAGGTGAAATTTATCTTCAAAGAGAGTGAGTCTACCGGAAGCAGGAATACACTCTTCTGAACTCTGAGGATGTACTGAATGCTGGTGCTAGTGTACTGCCAGTTGGTGTCTAAGCTGTGCTAGGGGCAGGAGGGAATGGCCTTTATCTAAGGTTGTGTTGCTATTGCTTTGTAAAGTACCTAGGTAAGTCCCACTTTAAAATACAAAGTACTTCATAATGCAATTTAAAAAAAAAAAAAAGCCACCAACCCACAACCCTTTGCTAGTCTTATGGAGTATCTTGCCTTATTTAGAAGGCAGTTGGGTTGAACACAGCATTTATCTGTTAATTTTGGGGCTAGGAGGGCTTTCATCCATTTAAGAAAAGTAGCTGTTCACCCAAATCTTAAGTGACTTAGAAGTCTGACTCTGCAAACAGTAGCTTTGTTAACTATGACTTATTTACAACCACACTTACTCATCCCTATCTCTTCTTACCAGTGTAGGAATGTTCTTCTGAAAGAATGGAAAGAGCAAAGTACTTGTCTTAGTCTGTAAATTAATCTAGCTTTTACTAGAAGGTTTTTGGAGGAAGAACTTGCAGCTGCATCTTATCAGTGGTAATGGAGTAGTTACTTAGTTACTTGCAGTATCCCTGTATGCTGTCTGAATCCCAGGAGACCTGCCCTCTCCCATGTTTTGTGGCTGACTCAGTGATGAGCATGCTATTAACTTGTTAATGGTTGAGAGTTATGTTGGTGACTTTAGGTTGCTGACTTCAAATGATTTGGTGTTTTTTAGACTTACTGACTTGGTTCAGCTGCTGTAAATCAAGGATCACCAAAGCTTTCTGGTTCAGGGAACAAATCCAGACTTTTATTAGCGAGATTCTACTAGGTCATGGTATAAGTATCTAATCTTAGATTGTCTCTGAAAATGCTTTTTTGGTGTTAGTACTGAAATGGATATTCAAACTTGCAGTTCTAGGTCTAAGAGCTCTTCTAGTAGTTAAAAGTAACTGATCTGTTCAGCTTTTCTGAACAGGCTGAAAGTTTGAGTGATAAACATGTTAGCTTTTCCATTGTAGGTTTTACTGATGCAGAACTTCAGTAATATTGTTCAAAATTCTTTATTCACATTACAAGTGTATGCTAACACTAGGCCAAAACAGCTGAATACTTTTTGGTGCATGATCAAGAGTCATGTGCAAGTAAGTTGCTCTTTTTATAGCCTGAAAATGATGGCACAAAGCCTTTTAGGTAAACTTACAGACATAATACAGCTTGTATTTTATTTTGTATCTCTAGTTATAACCAAGAAAGTGATACCTGGAAATACAGATAACAATTTACAAAGAATGGAACTATTGGTCAGCCTGATGTGGTGGCTGAAATATACTTTAAGTTTTCCTATGTAAGAAGTGACCTGATAAGTTGTAACTTGTAACTGCATTACCAGTTATACCGCACTTTCCAGTCTGGAAGAAGCTAAGTCTGAAAAGAGCAGGCTGATTATTTTGTGGGTTTTAAAAGTTAAGAAGTATTAGATAACAGGACTTAATGAAGCATAGAAAATCCTTTTTTAGAAAGTGTTCATAGAAAGTATGATCACAAACCATCCTAGACTAAACATGGAAGCCAGCCTGATATTGAAGAAATACCTAATTCTGTTCTCACAGGCAGTAGTAAGCAGGTCAAAATTCTTTGCCCTTTTGCAAGAATAGTGGTGAATCTGTCTCTCCTCTTGGAGAGATTATTAATTCACTTCTGATGCTGGTGCATGTGAATACTTAACAATCTTCTTTCCCCACTAGCAGATTATTTACTATTAAAACTAGGGTATGCAGATGTGAGGAAGCAGAAATTAAGATAGTGACTTCTAAATTTACCTCAAAGTGTTGACTTCTTAGATTAATTTAATGCATGAACATATTTACGGTGTAGTTTCTGTCGTCTCCAACCTATGGGAATTTAACTCTTTGCTTTATGCTGGTGTTAAATATTCAGTGTTTACAAGTACAATTGTAGTGGGTGCTTTCCAGCTTTTGTCTGTAAGAATATAGTGATACTCAGCAGCTGGTTACAGGTTTAGCTAGATGAAATGCTAGAGCAGACAAATGGAACTCATCAGAGTGGTACTTAAACTTACTTTTGGACCTGGCTTATAGTGAGTAGCAGTGAATCAGGCTGTGTTGCCTCGGGAAAACAAATCTAACAGGGTCAGGTAAATTGGTGATGGTTATTGTCCGTGATTTAAAAAAATCAGTGTTGTTCAGCACAAAAATGGACGTTGTGGAGGCATTGTAATTGTGGGTAGCTCTTGGGTATTATGAATAGGGCCTTTCAGGGGCCTCTCTGGCCAGTCAACAGTATTATTCATGGTCAAGCACAAAGCATAGCAGTCTGTCCTTGCAGTGTAAGCATATGCTGTTTCTACAAATGTTAAGTCAAGGCTGTTCAGGAGATTAAAATAGGTCAGTTATCTCTCAAACTGTACTATGCAAACTTCTGATCAGAGCTGGCAGAAGTGTAGTAAATGTTTGTGCAGTCTGCTTTCTGCTTGCAGCCCAGGTGCATAGGAAAACCTTGGAGCTGTCTTGAAGCTTTTGCTGTAAATAACTTGTTATTGCATTAAGTGTTTTACATCTCAAAATAAATATTTTGGTTTAGCATTTCAGATGTTTTGGTGTCAGTACCACTGAACAAAAATACAAGGCTTGTTAGGTGCCACTGTCCTTTTTCAATTTCCTTTAGTTTATAAGCTAAATAAAGAACCAATTTCTGAATTTTTCAATAGTCCCTTAAAACAAAACAATTTTTAAATTACTTTTTTCTTTTTACTTAGCACTGCAAGCTTGTTTAAATGTTGCATGCTTAGGCTTGAAAGTGGTGATAGAGAGATTGTGACAATATATGGTGTTTTGTGTTGAGTGCAGAGCTGTGAAGTTCTATTTCAGAATCCTCTTCGTGCTGCTGCTTCCTCAGTCAGTCACTGTAAGTGACTGAGTTTTGCAAGAATTACAAGGTGGCAGGAGGAACTGAGGTATTGCATATAAGCTTCTCTCAATGTATGCTGACTCATGTGCTCTAAAGTGACTCACTAATTAGTTTAACTCAGTAGTCTTATGCATTGTTTTGCATGAACAAATTGTTTTCTACATCCCCTTATATTTGAAGATGGTTTTTAAGCATTGATTTAGGTTTTTCTTAAGTAACTCTTATACTTGGTCTTAACTAAAGACAGTGCACTTCCTGTTTCTACACTGGGCAAGGAAGGGTGGGGAGCTGAGCTGGAGATCAGTGGTGATGTGCACTGTGTCAGAAACACATGCTTTTGTTAATGGGTGTTTTATGTAGTACATGCTGATGTTTAAATTAGCAGGAAGTTATCTAATCTGAATTGTAAATGACTTTTGGAATGGTAGCACATACACTGTACAACAGGTGAAAAACTTGGCAACTAATTCTTGCACTTAATCAGTTATCTCGTGCTGATCAGGTACTTCCACAGTTGTGTGTCTGGTATGGGGAATGTGGAGTTGCTTCTGGAGACAAGAGATACAACTGTGCTTACGATGGACCACCAATAGCATTACCAGAGGATGGCTATGACTTAATGCAGGTGAGCTTCTTTTGGAGATCTGCTGCTGAAAAACAGTTCTGCACTTTAGAGTTCTGTGTTAGGATGTGTTGGACCTGCTCTAAGACCTAAAGCTTTCTCATCCTAACTTGATAAGAGAGTAAACGGATTTCTCTTTGATTTCTCAGATATAGGTCATGTTTTCCATCAGATGATCATTCCTGACCCCTTCCTTAAATAGGAAGGCAGTAACTGATGCTCATTCAAATGGAGCAAACTTGGACAAAGTTCAGTCTCTGTAGCTGTACCTAGGGTGAGACCATATTTCCTTACCTGGGCTTTAGCTGCCAAAGTGAACAAAACCACAGTCAAAATAGAGTTTGTGTATTTGGTGCACAACGTAGGATGATATTGCCACACTTGCCTCCTGGCAGATAATAGTACAAAGCTTTAAATTGTGAAATAGCTATAGAGTTAAGCAATGATTTGGCTGGTGGCAGGAGTGTAGGTGAGCTAACTACTGTACTGTTTCTGAAGACTTAATGTACAATTCTTGTATGTTACTATCAGTTATAGTTGTATTAAATGCATTTGTCTCTTGTATAAACTGAATGTGAAATAGCTCTTCCAGGTAATCAATGATTTTGTGGTTAGTGGCTTGCCTTCTGAGACTTCAGAATCTGATACTATCTGGAAGGTATATTAGAGGATAAGCTGCAGAATTACTTTCAACTTGGATAAACATGTGTTGTCCTCTTACTAAGAGACTCTCAAATACCATTAACATTCTATATATAGACCCTGGTGACTAAAGATCATCTGAAGGAGCTTTTTAAAAGGAAGTGATCCCTTGTGTAAAAAGTGGTTTCTTCTCCCTGTTCTCTAAAGAATCTCATTGGCTAGACTGATTTACTTTTTTTCTATGCTTCTCCCACAGCAACAGCTACTGTCTTCAGAAATATGCTGAAGCAGAACCCATAACTGTAATGAGTTCTGAAGTCATAAATGCTTAAGTCTTAATGCTTTTCCTTCCTTTCTCCTGATCTCAATACTGTTTTTATTTAAGGAACTCTGTCCAGGCTTATTCATTGGCAATGTTAGCACCTGCTGTGATGTTAATCAACTTCAGACTTTGAAAAACAACTTGCAGCTGCCTCTGCAGTTTCTTTCCAGGTATGCTAATGAATGGCAAAGCAACTAGAGCTTTGTAATATAATAAGAAAGCACATTAAGACTCTTCTGTTCAAGTAAACTGTAGAAGAGATGGTAACTTCATTTAAAGGCTTATTGGAGCAAGCTCTTGGAGAGACCATATCCGGGGGCTTTAATTTGATGAAACAACTACTTGCAGTCTGGATTGAGTTAGCTGGTAGAATAAACATTTCCTTGGCTTGACTCAAGCTACTGTATGTGTAATGAAGCGTTCAGAAGAGGGTGACATAAAGTACTGTTTGAGTAGTATTGTAACAGAAGTCTTCCTGCTAACAGCAGTTTTCTGTCAAATTCTGCTTGTATCTCCTTTTTGAGGTAGGCAATTTTGTTAGTGAATGATGTTGATGTTACTGATGAGTATTAAGCTATTTTAAGCACCAATTAATGTTGTATTACTAATTAAAAACTTGCAGAATTTAAATATTTTGTTCTGTGACTCTGAGGAGAATGTTTACACTTGCTGTGTAGGTCAAATCAGATGTGCCTTGCATCTTTACCTTTTAATCTGATGGCTGTTCATTGACTTTCTTACCCAGATGTCCATCATGTTTTTACAACTTGATAAACCTCTTCTGTGAACTGACTTGCAGTCCAAATCAGTCTGACTTTTTGAATGTTACAAGCACCATACCTTATTATGATCCAGTTTTAAAAGAGAACAAAAGTAGTGTTACAGAGCTGCAGTACTTTATTGGAGAACGCTTTGCAAATGGTGAGTAAACACTGTGTTAATTTATCTAGGCTTTTGTCAAGGTAACGAGACCAATGCATTCTCAGGAAGAATTGGAAGGGGGAGCCATCTCTTTGACTAGCCTCTGAAGTTTGAGGCATCAAATAGGTACCAGTAGGTCCCCCTTGAAACTGCTGCAGCACTAACATCTGCCTGGATAGGAGACATTACACTGATACCTTTAATAACAGTGTTTTCGAAGACTCGGCTGAGACTGGACATCTCTAGCTGATAACCCTGGTGATTTTAACTCAGAAAAACAAAGTTGTTGCCAAGTACTGAATGTCCAAAGCCTACCTGATACTGAAACTGTCTGCCAAGTATGATAGTAAAGTTTGTACACTGTAATGGTTCTCTTAAGAGGTACTTGCTTATCTCAAAATTGACTGTTCTAGTCCTCTGTCAAATCCAAAGACTTTTTTTTTTCTAAGAACAAACAAATTTGGGTTGTATTTTGGTTTTATAACAAGCTTGAAACATTAGTTCAGACTTTTTATACTGTGTACAGTAACCTTCCATCAAGTTATGAGATATTTGAAAGTTGTATATGGCCTACAGGTCAAAAGTGCCTTAAATATTTGTCATAACTTCCCCCAAAAGGAGCTTTCGCTTAAGTACTGTTCCCTCTCAAACAGTAAAGTAGGTGCTAGCATAATGCAGATTCAGGTGGCCTACTGAGAATAAGATACCTGTAACAAAGCATTGCAACTTTTGAATACTTGTAAATACAACTGAAAGCATTATTTCCCTTTCTTAAGATATTTCCTCTTGAAAGAAGCTTGGTGAGTCTTTAATTATTGGAAATACTTGGAATGCTTTTTCAAATAAAAACATTGGTTTAACGACTGTTCTATCTTCATGCACTTTCCTAGCAATGTATAATGCCTGCAAAGATGTGGAGGCTCCATCAAGTAACGTTAAAGCACTGGGGCTGCTGTGTGGGAAGGATGTCAAGGACTGTAATGCAACCAACTGGATTGAGTACATGTTCAGTAAAGACAATGGACAAACTCCTTTCAGCATTATTCCTATCTTTTCAGGTAAGAAACCGAATAGTCCTTGTCTCTGAACCTTCTGTCAAAGGTTGTGTGCTGTAGGTAGTACACTGATTTGTTAAACAGCTGCCCAGCAGTGAAGGTCTGTAGTTGGAGACTTTCAAAGCAATGTAAGATAAACTGATTATCTCTTGATTTCTGCTTGGAAGTCATACTTTGTGCTTGCTTTGTATGCAGCTTCTTGCTGTGTAGATCCCTAAAATCCCTTAAGGGATGTACTGATCTTGGGTAACTGGATAGCTTCTTTTCCTTGGGAAACTAAGGCAGTACCCTGACCCTTCAGGAATTCTTTCTAAGGAAATTGTTATACGCTTCACAGTCTGAACAGATGAGGGGGATGCCAAATCATTGCTGGGATGATACAAGTATGTGCTTATTACTTTTGCAGACTGAAGTGTTCTAAAATGTGACTAGTTGTTTTGTCAGTAGACAACTGTAAATAGTCAGTACCTGCTGTAGAAAAGGCAGTGGCTTCTTCAGTTATAAGACCAGGAAAAGCTACTCTATATGGAGGCTAGAGGCTTTTGTATAAAGGGTTAACTCATTTAAGTAGGAAGCTTCTGTTGTGAAGGTCTGAATTCTTACCTGGTAGTGAACTGGCTCTGCAACTTGTGATTTGTCATAGATGTTCCTGTCCATGGAATGAATCCTATGAACAATGCTACCAAAGGCTGTAATGAGTCTGTGGATGATTCAACAGGACCATGCAGCTGTCAAGACTGTTCAATTGTTTGTGGTCCAAAACCTCAGCCCCCTCCATTGCCTGCTCCTTGGCTTTTGTTTGGTTTGGATGCTGTGTATGTCATCATGTGGATCTCCTACATGGCATTTCTACTCATATTTTTTGCACTAGTTTTTGGAGTCTGGTGTTACAGGTAAAGCATTCAAAATGCTCAACTCTGAAAGTCACTTGCCTTTCCCTGAAAACTTTCTTTGCCCATGAGAGAATGGTTATGTCTCTACTTCTTCACCCCATCAAAAGTCATATTGTGGCAGATGCTTATACTTACAAGGAGTGTTCTAGCACCTAAAACCATATGGTGGAAAGTGAGTGCAAAAGTTGATTTGATGTGTGACTCTCGTAGTATCCCTAGCTACAGCTTCAAATACACAAATCTACAACTTTCATAAGCAAGAACTTGGGAGTATGCAAAAATCTGGGGAAATGCATATATCTCCTCCATCTGATTGACATTAAGCCTTTGTGGTAAAGAGTAAAGTCTCAGTTCAGCTCTCTCGGTTCTTGGATGGTGTGCATTAAAATACCAGAGCACTGCCTTCATACTCAAATGCCAAACTTTTCTTGAAGCTGTGGGGTTTTACAATGCTTAAGACTAGGTCAGTACACTGATAAACTAGTATCCTGGAGAACCCACAGGCTAAGTAAAAATGTGATACTGTTCTCTTTAGCAAATCGCTTGTTCCTTAAGTTGTAATTGGAATGAGCTGGAAAATTCCAGTGATCAAGAGGCCTGTTTACCACATGCGGTATTTCATTAAAGCCTCCTTTACTTTTGGCTGTTAAACACTTTGTTGCATGTGTAACACCATAACTTTGTTAGGAGATGTGGCTGAGGGAAAGACGCACTAAAAGTTTGACTTAAAGATAATGGGGTTATAGGAACTCAATTCAGGATCAGTGAAAGACAGCAAGATCTAGTATTGGCAGCAACATGCAATCATAACATAGTTTTCCCGCAGACTAATAATTTGCAGTGATTGTTTTGTTACAAGTAAATCATTAATATTCTTCCTTAGTCTCCTATTTTTTTTTGGGGGGGGGGGAGAACAGACCCAAACAAAACCTAAACAAAAGGTGAGCTTCCAGAAACAGCATTTTGTAAAGTTAGGGGCAGCAGGCCAGCTTCTCTGCACTATGTGATACTTGCTAGTAAAGTGCACAAGTAGTTGTAAATGCTTTGGTGTGGGTGTGCTAGCAATACAGAGCTGTGGAAACCTATTGATATTTCTTAATAGCATTTTCCAGAGGCTCCCACTAGCTAATAGCTTTTAAGTATGGTGGTACTTTTCAGTGCAACTTCAATATTGGTCAATTATGACCAAGAATCTGAAATTGCTGTATAATAATTAAATCTGTGTGGAAAAGGACCATGGGTACAACAAACTTATGATATGCTCAGCAGCCTTATTGTACTGGGCAAGATGCATAGTAAACTACATGAATCGGTAAGGGGGCTTGAGGTGTCTGGTTCATAGCCCAAAACATCCTACCATAATTGGTGGTCTGATTTCCATGAGGAGGCTATTGAACTTATCTCAGGAATGAGTATAAGCAAGTATAGACCTATCATAAGGGTTCTGTGCTATAATTTGCTGTCTTCAGGACAGGAAGAAAGTAACTTTCCTTTTTCCTCTCTTCTCCCTTTCTTCAGGCTAAGGAAGGTGTAACTTAAGCGGTTTGGCTAGTGAAGTGAAACATTTCCAGTGTAGAAATCTCTTGCAAATGTTGTCATTACGATTAAATAAATTATCTGTGCTGTTACTGCTAGTGATCTTGTAGATATGCATAAAGAATGTGTGCTTGATCCAAGCTGGGGAATGTTAAGGCAGCCAACATGGCTGTAAGTTGTTCCAAAGGATCACAAAACTGGAGACTGCTGTTCTTGAGTGTATGAGCATAGGGGGAACATGGTGCCTATGAATTCTGTAGGTGTCAAATATCACATTTATACTAGTATTGGACTCTTCTTACTGTACAGACCCCTTTTTGAGAAGCAGGGTAACATAGTTTGTTTTGTCTTGCAGGAGGCGGCACTTTGTCTCAGAGTACACACCAATTGACAGCAATGTAGCCTTTTCTGTGAATCCCCAAGGTGACAATGGTATGTCTTGGATAACAGTAATTGATTTATTAGAAACTCAGCTTAAGTGTGTCACCTTTCTGTGGGTGGGCTCTGGAATTTTAGTTTCATTAGGCCCTATAATCCATCCTTATAGGGCTTTATTTCTGTCTTTTGGCCAGTATCTGTCTTCTTTTAGAGTAGTACTTACCCCTGTTTTACTGGATGCTGAGAGCCCTGGTTGCACAGTTTATGGGCCTAGCTATGCTAATAGAAGTTGTGGAATGCTTTGTAGCCTTGGGTGGAGGAGACAACACGATGCTAAAATCAATTCGATCATGTTCTGGCCCATCCATGTATCCATTCAAAGCATGCCATGAAAGAACTGTAGTGTAACTTGTGTAGTAGCTGAGGTAGCTTGTCTTAATGCTTATGTATCTTTTACCTGCTTCCTGCCTTTATTTGCTGGGCCTACTGCTGCCAAGATAATTTTGCATTAGAAGGGGCAATGTTAGGTACAAGCTGGTTTCTGCCCCCTTAACCTCAATCCAGGATTGGTCCCTGGGCCTAACTGTCAGTGTAGACATAGCTTCTGGGTGCTTACTGCAAACAGAGCTAGACTAAAATTTCATCTTTCCTAGTGGACTTCAAGAAAACACTGCTTAACTGACTTCTTGAACATTTATTTACTGTTGACTTCTTGCTCTTACAGGGAAAACTACCTGTGGTGAAAGGCTTGGTGAAAGGTTTGAGAATGGCCTAAGGATGACATTCACATCATGGGGGGCTTTCTGTGTCAGAAATCCACGTCCTGTTATCCTCTTCTCTGTGGTCTTCATTGCAATGTGCTGCTCCGGCTTTGTATATATTAAAGCAACTACAAACCCTGTGGATCTTTGGTCAGCCCCAAGCAGCCAAGCTCGCAAGGAGAAGGAGTACTTTGACACACACTTTGGGCCTTTCTTTCGTACTGAACAACTTATTATTCAAGCACCAAACAGCCGTCCAGACACCTATTCACCTTACCCGTCGGGAGCAGATGTTCCTTTTGGGCCTCCACTTACCAAAGACATTCTCCATCAGGTAACTGGGACTTCCCAAGAGCAAAGACCTAAACATTACTAACAGGTATAACCATATGGAGTTGGCTTCCATCTCTAATGCCATGTGTCCATCAAAACAATCACTAGATATTTGTCTTACTGTAAAAGCTCTTTGCTGAAAGCCTTGTCTTTTGACCCCTTCTGTTAGAGGTAGACTTGCAAATTAAGTCCCAATAAGTAGCATGAACACAGAAAGAATGAGATTGTCATGTGCTTCTTTTGATGTGTGCGCCACTGCCTTTGGAAACTTACAGGAATATAGCATGTACTTAAGTCTTGTCTTGCAAGGAAAAAGATTTCTTGTGCTGCTCTTAAACTGTGGTTTGATTTGTTTTTTCTTTTTTTTTTCCCCCAAGGTGCTGGATTTGCAGGATGCTATTGTTAACATAACTGCTTCTTTTGACAATGAGACTGTAATGCTGAAAGACATCTGTCTGGCTCCTCTTGCTCCCTACAACAACAACTGCACTATACTGAGCGTACTCAACTACTTTCAGAACAGCCACTCTGTTCTAGATCACACTATTGGGGATGAGTTCTTTGTCTATGCTGACTACCACACTCACTTCTTGTACTGTGTCCGGTAAGCAGCACGATTACATGCTTTTCTAACTGTCAGTCAGCTAGGTCCTTGTCTTGCTGGCAAACAAAACTAGCTAGTTCTCGCTGCCCCCTTGAACCTTTTGTTACCCCCTTTTAAACTCTCAATATTATGTGGAACTGCAGATTAGTATAGATTGCTTCTGTTTGTCTTAGTACTTCAGCAGAGCATTTTAATCAGGTTTCAGGTTAAGCTTGGTTTGGTGCAGACACTGTCTCTGTTTTACGTTAACCATGTTACAAACACTTCTGAGAAGCAGAGTTCTGATACAGAACACAGTTTCTAAGCTTTCACTTCAGTTTATAGTTCAGTTGAGTAGAAGCCACTCCTTGTCTTGAAAGCTATAAGGAAGACACCTTTAAAACTGTATTTAAACTTAAAGCAAACATAGCACAAGGGCAAAGTATCACTAGCAGTCTTATCTCATTTCTGTCTTGATAGTCAGCTATAACACAATAGCTTCTTACTCTTTTGTCCTGTGGTGCTGTGCCTTAGCTGTCAAGCAGAAGCTAACAGTTATTGTTGATGATCTCTTTAGGGCTCCAGCATCACTGAATGACACAAGCTTGATTCACGATCCCTGCTTAGGAACATTTGGTGGACCTGTATTTCCATGGCTGGTGTTGGGAGGATATGATGGTAGGTGGCAAAACAGCATTGCAGTTTAAGTCTTGAAAGTATATACTTCTGTGCTGCCTTTGGCACTGAAGGTGCATTCTCATTCAACACACGTTTAAGTGCACTCCAGAGAAACCAGAGTTTTGTTAAACTTTCTGTAAGGATATTTTAAATGACTTTTCAGTAGATCAGTACTGAGAGAGGAGGCAGACTGCATTTGGCACTTCCAGAGTAGTCTGTTACTGGAACATACTTGTCTTGTTGACAGGTTCGGTCTTCTTTGGGCCTGCTAAAGGATCTTTTAGCTTTTGGAGGTGAGATAAAGATATGAAGTATCTCAAGTTGACATGCTGCATTTTTGTATTTTGCTTTTGAGTTAGAACAAAGCTTTGTCACTGATCTGACAAAGCAGGAATAGATTAAGGTGTTCACAAAGGAAATCCTTCCATAATTATTCTGAAGCTAGAATTTTGTTCAAGCAATCTATCCAGTTAAGCATAACTCAATAGATACGTCAAACAAGTGTACCAAAACAGCCTTTGAAAGCAAGCACTTCTGAATTAAACTGTAGGATTTTTTACTTACTTTTAGTAAAATATAAGTATGGAAGAGGCACAGTGTTTAGGAAACCACATCCTGTCTCTCATTAGAGGAAAAGTCATAAGCACTGGTTATATAGTAGCTTGCTGTCTAACCATGCAAAAATTAAATGTTGGAGTGCTGTGAACATGGTAAGTAATGAATAATTACTTTTTAATACAATCTGGAGTGGTTATCAGCATCTATTCTTATTTCAGTAGTGTGTTTGAGAACTCTGTGTTAAACAGATTGCATTTAATGGAGTTCTAGGGATGGGATTGCTTTGGACAATACTAATTTTAAACTTAGTTGTACCTGTTTATACTGGAATGTAAAGTCCATTTCATAATGCCTGACAGATTTGTGTTTTTTCCTGCACTATAGATGATAACTATAATAATGCTACAGCTCTTGTTATTACTTTTCCTGTCAACAACTACTACAATGACTCAAGAAAGCTAATGAAAGCCTTGGCATGGGAAAAAGAGTAAGTAGGCTTCCTGTATTCTGAAATGTGTATGTTACTTAGAGCTTTAAATGTGTGTACATTAAAAACAGTTCGGTGGATAAGGAACTGGCTGGACGGCCGC